AAACCTTGTATGTTTGTTGGGGGGAATCAATGTATCTTTTGAAGCTCTCATATATGAAATGTGTGCTTGCACTTAATCTAAGATTTATGCTTCTTTCATCATTAGTTAGGGGGGTGAAGATTGGAGTAAGTGATTGATTCTGTGGGGGGGGTGGGGGGAGGGGGTGGGGGTTGGGGTTTTGTGGGGGGGTTGTGGGGTGGTGTGTAGGGGGTTGGGGGGGGGGGGGGGGGGGGGGGGGGGGGGTGGGGGTGTGGGGGGGGGGGGGGGGTGGGGTTGGGGGGGGCGGTGGGGGGGAGGGGTGAGGGGGGGGGGGGTGGGTGGTCGGGGTGGGGGGGGTTTGTGGGTAGGGGTGGGGGGTGTGGGGTTGTGGGTTTGGTGGGGGATGGTTGGGGGGGGGTGTGTTTAGGGGGGGGTTGTGGTGGGGGGGGGGGGGGTGGTGGTGAGGGGTGGGGGGGGGGGGGTTTTTTGGGGTGGGGTGGTGTGGTGGGGTGTGGGGGTGAGGGGGGGGGAAAAGGGGGGGAAGAAAAAAGGGTGTTGGTGGGTGTTCGGGGGGGGTGTGGGGGGGGTGGGGGTGTGTTGGGGGGGTGTGGGGGTTGGTGTTGTTGTTGGTGGGGGGTGGGTTTTGTGGGGTGGTGGGGGGAAGGTTTTTTTTGTGGTGTTTGGTTTTTTGTTTTTTTGTGGGTGTGTAAAGTTGTTTTGGTGGTTTGGTTTGGTTTTGTTTTTTTTGTTTTGGTTTTTGTGGGGTTTTTTTTTTGTTTTGTTGTTTTTTTTTTTTCGTGTAAAAACACAAACTCATTCAATGCATGATTATTGATTTTGTCGATACGGGAAACGACGGGGAAGTCTAGATCCGGGGAGGGAATGCTCTCCCAATATTATATTTGTTGTCGTTAAGCTCCTACACTTGATGAACTAATTATTAGGAATGCTAGGAATTGTATGAACTAGAATTAGGGAGAAGGCTTCTTGAAAATGTACTTTAGAGAGTGGCATAACAATCTGATTTGAATGTTGAATCCTACACTATATGAGAGTGGATAAGATGAAATGACCCCCAACACATATTCATATATATATTTCATTGAAAGTGCATTGTCTTTGCTTTTGCATTGATCAAAACTAATGCATACAGTTTATTTTCTGTCTTGCATATTAAACTCCAAATATTTATTTCTTAAGTCTTAGCTAATCAACGACCACACAACTAAAAACTAGCCGGTGAGTCCTTGGAGAACGTATTGCGCTTACCGAGTTTATTACTTGAACGATTCGGTCATACTTGCCGATTGTCAACAAGTGGTGACATCATATTTTGGTGATCTTAATATTGTTCCATCAGCCCTACAGATGACCGAAGATTCGAACCGTTCTCTAAGCAAGTGCGGGGAAATTGAAAATGCAGGAAGGAAATAAAGAAACTGAAAAGAATAGACACATAGTAGTGAAGAAACATAAATGATTATCCTAAAGCAAGATGTGGGAATTAATTAAATGAACAAATAATTAAAGAAACACTTTAAACTCTTGGCTAATAAGGAAATGCACATTAATGTTGTGGAAGGATGCAACGCGACCCCAATACAAACACCATGGAGCTGGAATCATCAAACATTCAATGCAAAAAGGCTGGAGTAAAATAAATAAAAAAAAAGCAACAAGTAAACCAAGCATTTTAATGGAATTCAAAACGGAAATTACACTAAGAAGAAACGTTAACAGTAAAAGGAACAAATCAGCTGCTTTGCATTCTAATGTATAAAATAATAAAACCAATTAAAGTGATAAAGGTTGGAAGCGTGGACCACTTTTCTCCAGAACAACAAAATGAACCATGCTTGCTTCACAAGATTAAATCAGCGCTTGCAATTAAAACTGAGAGTTGCTTCCATTAATAACTGCATTATCTTCTTTAAAAAGCCAAATGACAACATCTATACTCGTGCAATAATTAAAAACCGAGAGCTCACGTTTCCACGCACACCTTGCTAGTCGTAACACCTAATGAAATCACCTTCCACTTCTCTTCCAGCTCAACAACGTGAATCATCATTTTTTTAATAACAAAAAGTAAATGCAGAACTCCAAAGCAAATGGAAAGGAAAATGATCACCCCCACACCGACGTTGGACGTAACCACAGCCTGTGCTGCCCATTCTTCATTCAATAACAACGTTCTGAAAAAAAAAACAAGAGCAGAATCCGAGAATATCAAACTAGTAACGAGTGACAAGTGGCGGCTGCTTCCAGCGTAATGAAATGAAAATCACCACTCAACCATAACCCTCCATGCTTTCTTTCTCCCACTCTCCTCTCGGTGGCGGCTCAGCTGAACCCCCCTTTTTCATCACTCATGTGCCCTCTTTTAAAAACTCAAAAAGTGAATCCCCTCATTCTCGTAAAGCCCTCTGGATCTACTCCCGTGTGCTTGCTAGACCGAGAACCTTCTTCAAAGCTCTGGATGCATTGTTGGATCGTGGGCGTGGAGGTGCAGCCCTCTTTTTCCCAATCACGTGCTTGCTTCTCATTTCATGCACTTCTTCATGCACCTCCTGGATGTGTTGTTGCCCGCTGCTGGACCGTGGATCCAAGTGTTGATTGTTGGATGCCACTCGTGTCTCAAGTGTGGACGTGGAAGCTGGACGTGTGTGCTTCCTCTTTTCCAAATGAAGCCCTTCTTTTCTGCTGCCAAGCTGGACCTGGGCCGTGATGTTGTTGGGTGCATGGAGATAGTTGGATGTGCACCCCCTGTTGTTGGATATGCCACCTCTGGTCCGTCTCAAGCCAAAAGGGAAAATGGAGCCTCCCGCGTGAATCCAAGCCCGTGACGTGCTTGCTCCAACCTGCTGGACCAAGCTGCTCTCATTGCTGTCCGCGTCTCCCCAATTGCTAATTGAGCAATTTCTTCAAGGCCTCTGGACGCGTCACTTCATCATAGGCCGTGTGGTGTGCACTTCTCTAAAATGAAGGCCCTTTTTCTTTGCTAGCAGCTGGACCGTGTGAAGTGTGCGTGTGGTGGGCCGTGGCTTCTCTTCAAATGAGTGTGCTTCCAAAGCTGCTCCTACTTGAAGGCAATAAAGAAACCAAAAACTCTTTCAATTTGTGGGCCGTGACATGCTGTTCCAGCCCTAAAAAAAACGTGGCAGCCCACTTCTTCCAATTTAAGCACAACATCTTCCAGTACATAACCCCTTAAAACTCCATCATGAGCCTTTCACACTTCATTTTCAATTGAATTTAGAAATTACTATCTCCCTTGCGGTTGCACCATTCTAGCCAGCAGCAGTGCACCTCTCCAATTGCACCCCCAAATATGAAATTCACACCTCAATCATTTTAGCTTAAAATATAATTGATGTGGCATTTTCTTTTGACCTCCAAAATGTCCCAAATATTATCCAACAATTTCCCTACAATCAATAATGCAAATAATAAACTCAAATAATTCAAATTAATTAAAATAAGAATTTTTGGTCAAATTAAGCACAATTAGCAAAAATGGAAAAATACTAGACAATTAAGCACATTTCCCCGATTAATTCTAGCACAATAAACTAAGTGAAGTGAACAAAATATTGACTCATCAACGAGCGCTAGTACAAGACTGAGCACTACCAAGACTGTACATGACCGAGCGATCAATAATAGTTAAAACCTATGATAGATCGAAATGTTGTTTAAAACCAAATGATATGCTTAGACCGACTACTATATTCACTTGGATATCCATACAAGACCGATCGATCATTAACTAAGGATCCACAAAAGTAGAACTCAGTTAAGACCGAGCGCTAATAGATAGTACTATTAATAACGAACGTTAAACCTAGTACAACTAATAACAACCGGTATACCCTTCCTAAGACTGCCGAGTTTGAAAATGAATACTTTTAAACCGAATGTCACTATTAAACCGAACAACACATAACCAAATTATCACTACGAAGCCTAATACTGCTAAGCCCAAATATATGACCAGACCGAGCGTTCTATATCGATCGATCGATTTTCTTCAAAACTTGCAGAACTTCTCAACCACTTCACAGATTTCATCCAAACCCAAAATGTTGCATATAACAGTCCACACCCAAAATCACCGAACATCAAATAATTCAATTTCACATACATGCAACATCATCAAACAACAGTTTCATACATAAAAACTAAGTAATTAAATTAGCTAGCTTCCCTTACCTCTTGACCGGACCGAACAATGATTATTCTTTTCTAGAGTTTGCTTCCTCCCAAAAAATCCCAAGAACACCTATATTTCCTCGATTGGTGAGGAAAGACCACCCAATGGACCAAAATGGAGTTAGAAAGGGGAAAAGAAGTTTGAAGAACACATGCAACTAGTAGACTACCTTACATGTGACAGAAAACAACCATTCTAAAAAGAGGATGAACTTACCAGCTCAGACCAACAACTTGATTGGTGCAAAAATAAAGTCCTTGACACCAGGAAGACTCAGGCGTTGCCTGATTGATGATTGGAAGAAGAAAAGATAAGAATTTGCAAATAGAAGAAGAAGTTTAGAGAGAAGGAGGAGAAAACTGAAATTCAAAAATATTTGGAGAAGAAAGTGCATGCAGGAATGACTCGAGGTATTTGAAAAAACTAATTTTATCCTACCGTCAAAATCCACTCGGTCCAATCCGATGCACCCATCTGGATTCCACTTTTGCTGTTGAATTTAAGAGTCTGACATTAGCAAATCCCTATTTTATTTATTCAATTCCTACAAATATAAAAGAATAAATATGAATATAATAGATACGTAGTAATTTCTTTTTATCTTATCATATTAAAATTACTCACCTTTAAATATTGTGTCTTTATATAAATTATCTTGAAATAAAATAATAATATTTTAAATATCTTACATAATACAAAATAAAAGAAATAAAATAATAATAATAATAAAATAATAATAATAATAATAATAAAATGAATTTCAAAATTATTTCATTCATTTGTATTTAAAATAAAAAAAAAAGAAAGAAAAAACAGCCGCTAATTGCAACTAAGAGGTGCTTAGAAACCAATACTAGCCATTTCCCAAAGGTGCAGCGGTAAGAGGTGCGTGCATCCAGCGGAGCCATGATCTCGCAGTTCTTCGTTCTGTCACAACGTGGCGATAACATCGTTTTCCGTGACTGTTAGTTCTCTCTCTGAATCACCTCTTTCTTTGCAATTTTTGTTTTCCTCGTTTTTGGATCTGGTGCTGTGTGGGTCATCCAATGCTTTGATGGATTTTCGTTCTATTAGAGCGTTTTAGTGTAGCTTACTGATCTGTAATATGATTATTTCTTACTCTATAATACCTAATTCGAATTCACCCTTCCAGATCTTACTTATTCGATTCACTCTTGATCACGAGCTAATTACTGATTACTAATTACTTCCCTGGCCAATTCTAGAAGCACGAATTATGAGTGGCTAATTACTTTTTAAAATATCTTAGGCCGATATTTCGATGAGATATTTGCACCGTTCAATTTTGTTGCACGAGCTAAAACACGTTGGAATGCATCTTGATTCGTTAGGATATGGAAATTGTTAGTGGAAATGCATTTCACGAGAAAGCTAACATTTGAACCGATAATTGGTGAGATCTGTATTGGAAGCTGCCTTACACTCTCCGATGTTTTTCTGTTTAAAATATGCTCCTTGCATTCACTTTAAGTTTATAAAATTGGGACTAATTCTACTATTGCTAGAAATGGAGTTTCTCAAACCATAGTTTAGAATCTAGTCGGTGCTTATGTTTTTAACATCTCCCTGTTTCAGTTTCCTCGTTGTATTTTCCCTGTTTTAAGTAGTTGCATTAAATTTTAGATTTCCTAGGTCAAGTAAATAAAATCTTAAAATATTAAGATGTGCTGGGGAATGGAGTGCGAACATTCGGCTGCTTCTAATCTGAAAGTTTTTATTTTAATGATGGACGGAATGAAAGTGAAGTGAAAATCATTATCATTAGAAACTTATTATTATATTGAATGAGATTTTATCCTATCCCAATGGTTGGAAACTTTACTGTCAGACTCTCAGTTACCATTGCTTCTTTGTTTTCTTGATTTCAGATCGTGGTGAAGTCCAGAAGGGAAGTGCAGAGATATTTTTCCGCAAAGTAAAGTTTTGGGAAGATGGGGACCTGCAGGAGGCACCACCTGTCTTTGTAGGTATTATCTTTCTGAATCAAGCAGAGCATTTTATAATGTGCTTTAAGCTTGAGAGAGTATGTAACATTATTAATAATTATTAAGGGCATTATCTCCTTTTTTCTCTCCTTTCTTTTGGTTTGTGGTAGATGAATAACCATTCATGTTAACTAGTAACTATTGTTGTGTTCTGCCTTCAATTTATATATCATATGCCGAAATGCTATATCCACATGCCAATGTTGATATCTATTGTTGTCAATGTCATCCACTTCTGGTTTTGATAGTAATATAATGTTTAATTTACGCCAATTAACCCATTGTTTAGATCTCATAATATTGTTTGTACTGAAGCTATAAGTTTCGATTCACTTCGTGTAATTTTCTACTCTTTGGCTGAATATGCTGATTTCCTTTGTGTTGTGTTTTTTCTTTGGCAGAATGTTGACGGTGTAAATTACTTTCATGTGAAAGTTGTTGGGTTATTGTTTGTTGCAACTACAAGGGTTAATGTATCACCCTCTTTAGTCTTGGAGCTTTTGCAAAGAATTGCTCGTGTTATTAAAGATTATCTTGGGATTCTCAATGAAGACTCGCTACGAAAAAACTTTGTGCTTGTGTACGAGTTACTCGATGAAGTTATTGTGAGCTTCCTCCCTACCTCTATTTGGTTCATTATGCCTTTAAAAGGCCTTTGTTTTCTTAACTTTAATGCTTCGTTGAATTATATTATCACTTTATCCTTGCAAGCTCGTTTTTTAAATCTAATATTCATACTCGAGGCTCATTTTATCATAGTTGATTGTTGATACAACTGTATGTATTTTTTAACAGTTAATATTAGTAGCCACTGATAGATCTGACAAATGTGTTTACAATATTTTTCTGGTAATGTATGACATAAATTACAAACCTCTAAAATTTTGGGTGGATATTTGTTAGGTTACTTTATGCAAATAACCTAATTCGATCCCCTCTTCTCACTTCAACACTCGAACAACAAAATTGAAAAGTATGTATGTATTATTGATTCAGTAAAGTATCGAAAATACAAGTATACTCTCCCCCAAGGAAGCCTATCTTCCTCCACTGGCTAATATGCCCAGTCTATACTCAAAAGAAAATAACCTCTTGAACAAAAATAAAAGAAGACTATTTATAGTGTCGCCTTCCCGTGCCCTATCCTTTATGATAACCCGATCTGCTTCTACTAATTACCGTTCGGTACTATCGTATATATACCTTTCGGCCTTTGATCCCATCCTCCCTTTCGTCTGCCTCTACTTCCCTCCTCCCTTCTGGATACCGTTCGGTCTATACTTCTCCCTTGCCTTACCGTTCGGCCTCGCTTCCCCCTGTCTCTCTGTTCGGCCTCACTTCCCCGTTGACTTACCGTTCGGCTTCTCCTCTCATGCACCGTTCGGCCTTACTTCCCCTTGCCTTATCANCCCAATGGACCAAAATGGAGTTAGAAAGGGGAAAAGAAGTTTGAAGAACACATGCAACTAGTAGACTACCTTACATGTGACAGAAAACAACCATTCTAAAAAGAGGATGAACTTACCAGCTCAGACCAACAACTTGATTGGTGCAAAAATAAAGTCCTTGACACCAGGAAGACTCAGGCGTTGCCTGATTGATGATTGGAAGAAGAAAAGATAAGAATTTGCAAATAGAAGAAGAAGTTTAGAGAGAAGGAGGAGAAAACTGAAATTCAAAAATATTTGGAGAAGAAAGTGCATGCAGGAATGACTCGAGGTATTTGAAAAAACTAATTTTATCCTACCGTCAAAATCCACTCGGTCCAATCCGATGCACCCATCTGGATTCCACTTTTGCTGTTGAATTTAAGAGTCTGACATTAGCAAATCCCTATTTTATTTATTCAATTCCTACAAATATAAAAGAATAAATATGAATATAATAGATACGTAGTAATTTCTTTTTATCTTATCATATTAAAATTACTCACCTTTAAATATTGTGTCTTTATATAAATTATCTTGAAATAAAATAATAATATTTTAAATATCTTACATAATACAAAATAAAAGAAATAAAATAATAATAATAATAAAATAATAATAATAATAATAATAAAATGAATTTCAAAATTATTTCATTCATTTGTATTTAAAATAAAAAAAAAAGAAAGAAAAAACAGCCGCTAATTGCAACTAAGAGGTGCTTAGAAACCAATACTAGCCATTTCCCAAAGGTGCAGCGGTAAGAGGTGCGTGCATCCAGCGGAGCCATGATCTCGCAGTTCTTCGTTCTGTCACAACGTGGCGATAACATCGTTTTCCGTGACTGTTAGTTCTCTCTCTGAATCACCTCTTTCTTTGCAATTTTTGTTTTCCTCGTTTTTGGATCTGGTGCTGTGTGGGTCATCCAATGCTTTGATGGATTTTCGTTCTATTAGAGCGTTTTAGTGTAGCTTACTGATCTGTAATATGATTATTTCTTACTCTATAATACCTAATTCGAATTCACCCTTCCAGATCTTACTTATTCGATTCACTCTTGATCACGAGCTAATTACTGATTACTAATTACTTCCCTGGCCAATTCTAGAAGCACGAATTATGAGTGGCTAATTACTTTTTAAAATATCTTAGGCCGATATTTCGATGAGATATTTGCACCGTTCAATTTTGTTGCACGAGCTAAAACACGTTGGAATGCATCTTGATTCGTTAGGATATGGAAATTGTTAGTGGAAATGCATTTCACGAGAAAGCTAACATTTGAACCGATAATTGGTGAGATCTGTATTGGAAGCTGCCTTACACTCTCCGATGTTTTTCTGTTTAAAATATGCTCCTTGCATTCACTTTAAGTTTATAAAATTGGGACTAATTCTACTATTGCTAGAAATGGAGTTTCTCAAACCATAGTTTAGAATCTAGTCGGTGCTTATGTTTTTAACATCTCCCTGTTTCAGTTTCCTCGTTGTATTTTCCCTGTTTTAAGTAGTTGCATTAAATTTTAGATTTCCTAGGTCAAGTAAATAAAATCTTAAAATATTAAGATGTGCTGGGGAATGGAGTGCGAACATTCGGCTGCTTCTAATCTGAAAGTTTTTATTTTAATGATGGACGGAATGAAAGTGAAGTGAAAATCATTATCATTAGAAACTTATTATTATATTGAATGAGATTTTATCCTATCCCAATGGTTGGAAACTTTACTGTCAGACTCTCAGTTACCATTGCTTCTTTGTTTTCTTGATTTCAGATCGTGGTGAAGTCCAGAAGGGAAGTGCAGAGATATTTTTCCGCAAAGTAAAGTTTTGGGAAGATGGGGACCTGCAGGAGGCACCACCTGTCTTTGTAGGTATTATCTTTCTGAATCAAGCAGAGCATTTTATAATGTGCTTTAAGCTTGAGAGAGTATGTAACATTATTAATAATTATTAAGGGCATTATCTCCTTTTTTCTCTCCTTTCTTTTGGTTTGTGGTAGATGAATAACCATTCATGTTAACTAGTAACTATTGTTGTGTTCTGCCTTCAATTTATATATCATATGCCGAAATGCTATATCCACATGCCAATGTTGATATCTATTGTTGTCAATGTCATCCACTTCTGGTTTTGATAGTAATATAATGTTTAATTTACGCCAATTAACCCATTGTTTAGATCTCATAATATTGTTTGTACTGAAGCTATAAGTTTCGATTCACTTCGTGTAATTTTCTACTCTTTGGCTGAATATGCTGATTTCCTTTGTGTTGTGTTTTTTCTTTGGCAGAATGTTGACGGTGTAAATTACTTTCATGTGAAAGTTGTTGGGTTATTGTTTGTTGCAACTACAAGGGTTAATGTATCACCCTCTTTAGTCTTGGAGCTTTTGCAAAGAATTGCTCGTGTTATTAAAGATTATCTTGGGATTCTCAATGAAGACTCGCTACGAAAAAACTTTGTGCTTGTGTACGAGTTACTCGATGAAGTTATTGTGAGCTTCCTCCCTACCTCTATTTGGTTCATTATGCCTTTAAAAGGCCTTTGTTTTCTTAACTTTAATGCTTCGTTGAATTATATTATCACTTTATCCTTGCAAGCTCGTTTTTTAAATCTAATATTCATACTCGAGGCTCATTTTATCATAGTTGATTGTTGATACAACTGTATGTATTTTTTAACAGTTAATATTAGTAGCCACTGATAGATCTGACAAATGTGTTTACAATATTTTTCTGGTAATGTATGACATAAATTACAAACCTCTAAAATTTTGGGTGGATATTTGTTAGGTTACTTTATGCAAATAACCTAATTCGATCCCCTCTTCTCACTTCAACACTCGAACAACAAAATTGAAAAGTATGTATGTATTATTGATTCAGTAAAGTATCGAAAATACAAGTATACTCTCCCCCAAGGAAGCCTATCTTCCTCCACTGGCTAATATGCCCAGTCTATACTCAAAAGAAAATAACCTCTTGAACAAAAATAAAAGAAGACTATTTATAGTGTCGCCTTCCCGTGCCCTATCCTTTATGATAACCCGATCTGCTTCTACTAATTACCGTTCGGTACTATCGTATATATACCTTTCGGCCTTTGATCCCATCCTCCCTTTCGTCTGCCTCTACTTCCCTCCTCCCTTCTGGATACCGTTCGGTCTATACTTCTCCCTTGCCTTACCGTTCGGCCTCGCTTCCCCCTGTCTCTCTGTTCGGCCTCACTTCCCCGTTGACTTACCGTTCGGCTTCTCCTCTCATGCACCGTTCGGCCTTACTTCCCCTTGCCTTATCATTCGGTATTAGGTTAATTCTCTCCTCTTTTATTCCTAACAATATTGTATTGTTTTCCTTTTGAAAATATTACTTAAAGAGCCTATTTACAATTTTCTTGTAAGTTTTACTCCTGCTTAGGCCTGAAATCATAGTTAATTAGTCATGTTTCCAAAAGTCGTACTTATGAGTGACCCATTGATGTTTTTGAAGGATTTTGGGTATGTTCAAACAACATCTACCGAGATGTTGAAAGCCTATGTTTTCAATGAGCCACTTGTAGTTGATGCTGCACGTCTATCACCTCTTGGACCTGGTTCAATTTTCACGGTATGATGTTTACTATGTTCTATATTTGCGCAGTTATTTTGTTTTTATGTTATTATTGCTAGCACTTTTCTATGATATCATTATTTCTTAATTTTGGTTGCATGCAGCAAGGGACAAAAAGAATGCCAGGCATTGCTGTCACAAAATCTGTTGTTTCCACAGAGCCTGGGGGTAGAAGGAGGGAAGAGATTTTTGTAGATATAATTGAGAAAATCAGCATCACTTTTAGCTCCAGTGTTAGTAAATATGTTAAAATATTAAACGATGAATTTCATTACATTGTTCCATTGTTACATCGTCCATCATGTATCATGAGTATAGACGCTTTGCTTATGGTTTCTGGATGCTATTTACAAAACTTAATTATGATTTCTTTCGAGCATGGATTTACTCTTGACTCTCTAGTGTCTGAAACTAATTTAATCTAAGTAATGAACCATCCATTCCAATTAGAAATTCTACTTATCAAATGCACAGGGGAAAAACTTACCTTGCCTAATGAAACATAAATAGTCAATTTTGATTGAAATCTTTTTATGCATTATAGTGAACTAGTGCTTTTATGACACCAAAAGTTTTTTTGGTAAAGTTCATACAAGAGAACAATTGAAGTCGTGCAAAATGAAAACATTGTGGTGGATTAATGCACATACAAGAAAAAGGATTAGGGATGGAGGTTCTAAAAAGAAAGTAGAAGGAGAACATTTTGAGGAGAATATGGTAAAATCTAACCTAAGACGGTTTGGCCATGCGTGGAGAAGACCAATAGAAGCCCTGTAAAAAATAGCCAATTAGATTGTGGATAGTTACATTACAACCAAAAATAACAAAGTCTGAGTTTTCCAAGAGAAAGGACCAAGAAACAAGAAATAATTGAAAAAGAAAAGACTGGACTGTGTGAATTATCCTTCCAAAGATCTTCCCTTCGAAAAATTAGCTAAAACTTGGTTCTCCCAACACTTACAATTCAGAATGAATATTTGTATTCAAATGATTCCCTTGTACCATGTGTTCATCATTCTCAGTATTTTTAATGTAATTTGGCCAGGGATACATTCTGACTTCTGAGATTGATGGCACCATACAAATGAAGAGCTATCTTTCTGGCAATCCTGAAATTCGATTAGCACTTAATGATGATCTCTCCATTGGAAGAAATGTGGGAGCAGCTTACGGTAACTTCCAATCATTCAATCATTGTTTCCAGTAGTTTTCCAAGAATTATAATTATATTATACTTATGTGGAAATGTTTCTAGAGCAGGTTATAGGAGCTCATCTGGCTCAGGAACAGTTGTATTAGATGACTGTAATTTCCATGAATCTGTTCGCCTAGATAGTTTTGATATTGATAGAACTCTATCCCTGGTGGGTACCAAAGTAGTCTTAAACTTTTTCATTCAGAATATAGAGGTATTTTATTGACTTGTTTACTTTTGAACATTTATTTTAATGGTACACTGCCAATTTTAGATCCCACCAGATGGTGAATTTCCAGTCATGAACTACCGTATGACACAGGAATTTAGGCCTCCTTTTCGTATTAATGCTCTGATTGAAGAGGCAGGATCGCTTAAGGTGATTCCTACTTTTAAATAGTTGTTCTCTAGTTTTCTGTCTTATGTATCTTTCTGTATGTGTGTGTATTCCTCTTTCCCTTGCAGTCACTAGCAGAATAACACTTTTGAAATTGCTATTGCAGGCAGAAGTAATTCTTAAAATAAGTGCCGAGTTTGCTTCAAGTGTAACAGCAAATACTATCAAATTGCAGATGCCACTACCGAAATATACCTCCAGGTATTATTCTAAATTTCTCAATGTCGTTTAATAAATGGGATACTATCTTTGAAAGTGATTTTTAGTTAACTGGAACCTGACATGTTGATGCGTTTAGTATTTTTACTGAAGTATTCCCTAATAGGTTTTGGACTGCATCAGTTTATAGAACTCTTGAAGGGATTGTCCACTGATTTTATGAAAAATATAGAGAGGGAATTAATTATAATGTTTTATAAATTACAAACATTTTTTTATCCCCTTGGGGGCAATAGGGATGTTTTTGACCATAGGTTATACTGAAAGGAAATTTGAAAAGTAAACTATTTAAAAAATAGTGTTTGGGATTGATGCTGAAATTTACAGTTTTTTCTTTGAAAAAAAAAAGGCTGTTTTCATGCCTCTATATATTTTAAGCTTATATATTTTGCAAACAGTTTTCGTTCTCCTTAAACGGTTTTCCCCAAATTATTAAATAAGCTTTTTCTGTTTTAGCTTTTTTGCATACCATATTTATCACAAATTTACTATATAAAACTAATTTTTTTGTTGTTGTATCCAAATGGAATTAATTACCTTAAAATTGTTTTTCAATAAATTTTCCCAAACAAAAATTGTTTCTGATTATAATTTATTATTGAAATAATCTTAATTGCCAATTTTGGTGTGTGACTAGAATCTAAAGTTATAACAGATCATTTGTGACTAGTTGCTTATGATCATTGACACGCTCACTAGGTTATATGTAATGTTCTTGCTCCTTTTTCTAAGCTAAGTTAAATTTCAGCACAAGGTAGGGTGCTGGGTGTGTGCCTTGTCCACATTTCAGAACCGTAGGGTCTTAAGTGTGTTGGACCATGTTACATATAGAATTTTGAGTCTCTGATCCAACAATTCATGACGTATATGTGTGAAATCTGAACACAAATTGTTGGAAAAAGTAGTTCAAGGGACCATTATGTCAATATTAGATTTGGATCGAAGGCTTTTTGATTGTGTCAAGGACCATTTCTCACCTAATAGGTGAAGACTTTGCATTACATACGGTAGAAGTTAACAAAGCAGTTAATAAAGGTCAATGAATGTCATCAAGTATTATGGGATGCTATTATTTATCTTGCTAATTTTACTGTGTGGATAAACGATGGCCGACACTGTAGTTGCTGATGTAAGTTAGACGGAATTGTCACAGAGTTAGTTTTGAGCTGGAACCTGGAGCTGTTGGACAAACAACTGATTTTAAGGAAGCAAACAAGAGGCTCGAATGGAGTTTAAAAAAGGTCATATTTCTTGTCATTTCTCTAACCTATTTTTTCCGTGTTTCATTGTCTGTAATTCTTCAAATAAAGCTTTTTATTGGATGATTTGGATCATTACGTTTTTCTGAAGAATAAGTCACTTATAAGTGCTACGTAACAGATTGTCGGGGGATCTGAGCATACTCTGCGGGCAAAGCTAACCTTTGCTCAGGAATCTCACGGTATATACCCTTATACTTGATGCATGCTCAAAATGGATAGTTTGATTTTTTGGTTGGGTGATTAATATGTCATAATTATGCAAATATATTTGTTAACAGTTAATGTAACGAAAGAATCCGGACCTGTTAGCGTGACATTTACTATACCAATGTATAACGCATCACGGCTTCAGGTAAAGTGACCATGTGAACTTTTATTCTTTCTAGTTTTTATTTGAGCAAAAGCTTCCTTTTTATCAGACGTTATGTAGATTGATTTACTTGAGATTGAAATTATAAAATAATTCTAGAGGGCTTAATTGATCCTCTCATAATCTTCTATTTATAAAAATAAATTGATACAAAAGTACATGATAATTAGGGTAACCTTAGACACAATATAATTATGATAAATAAGGTAACCTTAGACAATATAATCATGATAAATAGGATAACCCTAGACACAATATAGTCATGATAAATAGGGTAACCTTAGACACAATATAATCATGATAAGTAGGGTAAATATTCTAACACTCCCCCTCAAGCTGGAGCATACAAATTGTATGTGCCAAGCTTGGAATAAATAAACTCAATGCAACAAAATCAACTTGTCTAAAATGTCGAGACAATAGACCTGGTAACTTTGGCTTTGGACAAGATGCACATATGCTTCATACCATCAAGAGAGAATGTCTATAAACCAAATTGGACTCACAAACTAGCGTAACCAAAGAGACTCCTCATAAGCTTGTGGAGAATAATATTGGACAAGCACGAAACTTCATCTAGCACCACGAACCTTCAAGTAGGATGACTTTGACAAAGTTGATTTCCATCAAAAGTGAATGACGAGTGGTAGACAGAGACAAACTGCAGAAATTGGATTGCCATCAAGTAAGGATGGGGCCTGCAGAAACTGGATTGCCACAACTACAAGGACTACCATCACTGACTGATGGGGCATGCAGTGGCTGGAAACATATTGCAGTGGCTGGAAACATACTCCCCTTCACGACAAACGACAGAAATGACGATGCGCCAAGACAAATCGTGAAGGTGGAAGATCATTATGGTCTCCTTTATTCATCAAAGCATCCAAAAATAGATCTCACAAGGGACTGGTGAAATTGTTTGACTAAGATTCTTAATCTTGCCAGAAATGGACTCCCCCTCACGCCATGAGGAACCTTCAACCTATGACTTTGGTTTTGAAATTCCTTGTGTTAACAAGCTATTAACACTTGACTCTCCTTGGAGACTTGTAAATAAATGACACAAGCCATCAGAAACATCACAGCTGCTACAATATGCAAAGCTAAACACACATTATGAAAGAGGCTAAGGAAAAATGCTGAAACAAAGAATTTTTATGATTCTGACATTGGGAAGGTGACTTGTGACCAACACGCACCAGAAGCTGATCAGAGAGAAGTTGTTCGTGACGGTGCGTGTGGAGGAGAATGAGGCAACGACAACAAGGATGGGTCGCGCTCCTCAATGCTCACAAAACCCCTAACTTCGCCAGAGAAAACGAGACGACAACGGTGGCGGAGGTAGAACAGATGTGGCGTGCGTGGCGGTGCTTGGATGAGAACTAGCCCTAGACACAGGCAAGGTTGACCATTGCTCAAGGACGCGATCTAGATCCATTGGTCGCCGGACTAAACTGTGGCGGTGGCCGGCATTAGCGGACAACGTCAGAATGACAGGAAATAGAGGTTGATGGTGACAAACTTATGTGGACAGGTGAAAAAATAGTGCCAAGTGGACAACGACAAACAACACCAGACCGCGACAAACATGCGTACAACAACTAGGGTTTGGAGACTAGATAGAAACCAGAACAAGACTGCTAATTTAGGTATTTAAGAAAAGATGAAATTTTTAAGGAGCCGGTGGCGGCACTGGCCACCGACAGCAACAAAGATAGAGTAGGAAGAGACTCAGACAACTTGCTCTGATACCAACTTGAAATTGAAATTGTAAAATAATTCTAGAGGGCTTCTCATAATCTTCTATTTATAAAATTAAATTGATACAAGAGTACATGATAATTAGGGTAACCTTAGACACAATATAATCATGATAAATAAGGTAACCCTAGACACAATATAATCATGATAAATAGGGTAACCCTAGACACAATATAATCATGATAAATAGGGTAAATATTCTAACAGATTTGATGGTGTTCTGTTACGTATCCGAGTAGGAGACGTAACGAAATCACCTTCTCACACACTCACAACAAGCAAAAGAATAATGAAAGAATGAAATTGAACGAATGAATATCTTTTATTGATGGTAGTATCTGAATAAACAAAAGTAAATAATAATTGGGAGCATAACCTCCATCAATTATTTGGGAGCATAACCTCCCTCACAAGACAATAATGTCTGTCACAAAACTCAATAATAAAAAGCATACCCTTAACCCTAGACTCTAGCTTTATTTATACTAATTATTTCCCGCCCCATCTCGTACTAAATATTTCCATAAAATATATCTGCATTTAATATAAATATCTCTATATTTAATATAAATATCCCTCGTATGTTATCCTAGCATATATCCATAATTATAAATATCTTATATTGAATATTTCACTAGGATATATATTTATATACTCTAATTAACTTATACTGAATATTCTCTCCTATTGTGGCTCATTTTACTGTAATTAGCTCTCGCCCCCCTAACCGCTGCACAGTTACGATGGTGATTCTTCAACCGTTCGGCCTGCTCGCTCCCTGCTTCCCATCGTTCGGCTTGGTCGCTCCCTGCCTCCCACCAATCGGCCTGGTTGCTCCTTGCCTCCCGCCGTTCGGCCTGATCGCTCCCCGTTGTCCAGCGTTCGGCCTGGTCGCTCCCCTTTGTCCACCGTTCGACCTTACCTCTCCATGCCTTCCATTGTTCAGCCTTTACGGTCAATACCGTTCGGCCTCACTTCCCTACTTCCTTTCTTCTCCTTCTCATTACCTCCCACCTTATACCCTAACATTACACCCCGCTGCAAAACAACCTTGTCCTCAAGGTTGGAATCGGGGAGCTTGATCTCATGGCTCCTCATCAATTCAGGTCTGGAGGCTCGGGTGGTGGCCATCCCTCCTCATGCCAATATCGTGATTCTCCATCTCCTATCCGGAGAGTGGTGAGCAGGACCGAACAGCCCGTTGCATCTGAAGCACCTTCGTTCTTCTCTCCGTTTCACATATTCATCATAAGGCAGATTCCTCAAGTTTCTTTCCTTTCTTCCGGAACCCCCACTCTCCGTGATTGCCGCTCAGCTCTCCACAACATTTACCGTTCGACTCTGGTTAGGGCGATTGGGCTCCAACCGCGTATCCGAACCGTTCGGTCTCTCCTCAGATTGATTATTGATCATACTTCCGCTCCTAGCCTTCACGCCCCCTTGGATCTCCACATCCCTCGCCATCCTCATAGCTATCATCAACTCTCGCAGATCAAGCAGTCGTACTTGATTCCAAATTCCATCTTGTTATCCTGCCATGAAGTACCCTATCAGCTGTTCTTTGGCCACTCCTTTTGTCTGCCCCACCAAGATTTCAAAATCTTGGATGTATTCTTCCACTAAGCCTGATTGCTTAATGGCTGCCAGTCTTTCAAAGACTGGTCCCTGACTTCCTCCGAACAATACCACCTTCGTCTCCACTCCCTCTATGGACAGTTGCATGCTTTCCTGATTCAACCCCACGTGCTCCAGTTTGATTTCGATTGCACTCATTCTTCCCTCCATCATGTCTCTCACTCCTCTCTGTCACTTCGGCTGGCCTCACACTCCTCTTCTTCGATCTGACAGATTGGACCAATTGTTACATATCCGAGTAGGAGACGTAACGAAATCACCCTCTCACACACTCACAACAAGCAAAAGAATAATGAAAGAATGGAATTGAACGAATGAATATGTTTTATTGATGGTAATATCTGAATATACAAAAGTAAGCAATAATTGAGAGCATACCCTCCATCAATTATTTGGGAGCATAACCTCCCTCACAAGACAATAATGTCTGTCACAAAACTTAATAATCAAAAGCATACCCTTAACCCTAGACTCTAGCTTTATTTATACTAATTATTTCCCACCCTATCTCTTACTAAATATTTTCCTAGAATATATCTGCATTTAATATAAATATCTCTATATTTAATATACATATCCCCTGTATATTATCCTAGCATATATCCTTAATTATAAATATCTTATATTGAATATTTCACTAGGATATATATTTATTTACTCTAATTAACTTATACTGAATATTCTCTCCTATTGTGGCTTCTTTTACTGTAATTAGCTCTTGTCCCCCCTAACCGCTACACAGTTAAAATGGTGATTCTTCAATCGTTCGGCTCAGGTCCTTCCCTGCTTCCCACCGTTCGGCCTGGTTGCTCTCTCCCTCCCACCATTCGGCCTGGTCGCTCCCCGCCTCCCACCGTTCGGCCTGGTCGCTCCCCTTTGTGCACCGTTCGGCCTTACCTCTCCATGCCTTCCACCGTTCGGCCTTTACGGTCAATACCGTTCGGCCTCACTTCCCTGCTACCTTTCTTCTCCTTCTCATTACCTCCCACCTTATACCCTAACATGTTCATTCTGAGATCTCTCTAAAACTGTTTGTATTGAACATAAGTAGATATGTTTGTATAGCCGTTTTCTATTTTGTCACATTGCCCTGTATGTACAGCCGTGTCTATTACTCAATTGATGACAAATTTATGAACACCGAAAAACGGTGCCAAAAACTTGTTTAACCCTCGGCAAGTGTGACCGAATCGTATCAAGTAATAAACTCGGTAAGACCAAGTATCGTTCTCCCAAAGGACTCACGGCCTAGTTAGTTATATGATTTGTTGATTATTTGAGACTTGTAAACAATTGATTGTAGGTTTAAATGCAAAAGACATTAATTAAACATGTATGCATGAATGTTGATCAATGGAAAAGAGGAAAACAAACACTTTAATGAATTAAATGGATGAGTATGTTGTTGGGGTTATCAATTTCATCATATCCACTCTCATATACTTTTAGGAATTCATCATTCTTATCATCAATTGCTAATGCCACTCTCTAAATCACCTTGCAAGAAGGCCTATCCTTAATTACGAGTTCATACAATTCCTAGCATTCCTAGTAATTAGTTCTGAAGTGCAGGAGCTTAAAGGCAATCAATATGCTATTGGGAGAAATTCCCCGGATCTAGACTTCCCCGTACGTTCCCATATCGACAAAATCAATAATCATGACAATGAATGAGTTAAACAAAGCAAGCATTAAGCAAGGAGGAAAATCCCTAACTAAAGATGAAAGAAAGCATATATCTTAAAGTAAGATGTTAAAACACAAATTCCATATATGAAAGTTTCACAAGACTACATTGATTCCCAACAACTATACAAGGTTTAGTTCACCATATTCATGGTGAAACTAGATGAACAATAATGAATGAAAGAAAGATAGAACCCTAGAAAGAGGAGGAGGTAGCCTGAGCATCCAAGATCTTCCTTCAAGGGGTGGAAAAGAGAGTGTTTGCTTCGTCTCTGCCAAAGATACAAACCCTAGGACGACCTAAAGCTTATATACTATTCTAAAATATACAGAAAATTAGGCCCAAGCCCAAAATAGTGC